ATGCATGATGGTATTGTGAGGACATTAAATGAAGTCCGCCATGTTCCTGATCTAAAGAAGAACTTGATTTCTTTGGGTACACTCGACTCCAGGGGTTGCAAATATTCAGCTGAAGGTGGAGTTCTTAAGGTAACCAAAGGTGCTTTGGTAGTTATGAAAACTAACAAGGTTAGTAGATTATATGTATTGCAGGGAAGTACTGTGATAGAATCTTCTGCTTTGGTCTCGTCATCCATGTCCGAGGAAGATCTTACAAAGATGTGGCATATGAGGCTCGGACATATGAGCGAGAAAGGGATGACTTCTTTGAGCAAGCTGGGCTTACTTTGTGGGCATGTCATAGGTACTCTTGAATTTTGTGAACATTGTGTGTTTGGTAAACACAAAAAGGTTAGCTTTGCCAAAGGGATACATAGGACCAAAGGTACACTTGATTACATCCATTCAGATTTATGGGGCCCTTCTCGTGTTTCTTCGAAAGGTGGAGAAAATTATCTTCTGTCATTCATCGATGATTTCTCCAGAAAGGTATCGTGCAGTGGAAAACTATAATCGAGAAGCAGACAGGAAGGCAGATTAAAAGGTTGAGGACTAATAATGGGCTCGAGTTTTGTGAGTTTGACTTTACAAATTATTGTTTGAAGGAAGGTATCATTAGACACCGCACCTGTGTTGGTCGACAACAACAGAACGGTGTGGCAGAGCGGATGAACCGCACACTCTTGGAAAGGGCTCGTTGCATGTTGTCCAATGCAAGTTTGGATAAGTCCTTTTGGGCCGAGGCAGTTTCCATGGCAGCCTATTTGGGGAACCGATCTCCGCATTCAGCTCTCGAGGCTAAGACTCCATTTGAGATTTGGTCAGGTACTCCTGCTGACTATTCATCTTTAAGAATATTTGGTTGTCCTGCTTATACTCATGTTAACGATGGAAAGTTAGAACCTAGAGCCAAGAAATGTATTTTTGTGGGCTATGGCTTCGGTGTAAAGGGTTACAAGTTGTATTGCCCTTCGAGCAAGAAAATTATTATTAGTCGTGATGTTATATTTGATGAATCACACATGTTATCTCCAAGGGAGGAGGATTTTGTTGCTGGTGATTCAAGTACATCACAGGATGACCAGATGCAGGTGGAGGTGGAGCCCAGTCCATCTTCACAGCCTTCTCAGTCTATTTCAGATGAGCCAATCACATCGGATGATGTTCAGCCCAGTCAGGAGTCGCATACTATTGCCAAAGATTGACCGAGGCGACAGATAAGACCACCAAGCAGATTTGATGATTGTGTGTCTTATGCATTGACTGTCGCTTGTGAGGTAGATAGCACTACCAATCCAACCACTTACGATGAAACCATATCCAGTCCAGACAGTGGTAAGTGGTTAATTGCCATGGAAGAGGAGATTGCATCCCTCGAAAAGAATGGCACATGGGAGCTTGTATTACCACCACCAAAGAAGAAAATTGTTGGGTGCAAGTGGGTCTACAAGACTAAGGAAGGTATTCCTGGTGTTGAGGATGCTCGACACAAAGCAAGGTTAGTGGCACAGGGTTTCAGTCAAGTTGCAGGTATTGACTATACCGAAGTCTTTTCCCCTGTTGTTAAGCATTCTTCTATTCGTACCTTGCTTGCTTTAGTAGCTATGCATGACATGGAATTAGAGCAGTTAGATGTTAAAACTGCATTCTTGCATGGTGATTTGAAAGAGAAGATTTATATGAAACAACAAGATGGTTTCGTTGTAGAAGGAAAGGAAGACCATGTTTGCTTGTTGAAAAAGTCTCTGCATGGCCTTAAGCAGTCTCCAAGGCAGTGGTATAAGCGCTTTGACGCTTTTATGACTTCTGGAGGTTATCCCAGGAGTGCCTTTGACAGTTGTGTTTATTTCAGGAAGCTCTCTGATGATTCTTTCATTTATCTGTTATTATATGTTGACGACATGCTCATTGCTTCTAAGAATAAGTCTGAAATTGTGAAGTTGAAGTCTCTCTTGAACGGTGAGTTCGAGATGAAGAATCTGGGTCCAGCGAAGAAAATTCTAGGTATGGAGATTATTCGTGATCGTGAGAACGGGAAACTGTTTCTCAGTCAGCAGAACTATATTGAGAAAGTTCTTGATCGTTTTGGCATGTCAGATGCCAAACCTGTCTCCACTCCTCTAGCAGCTCACTTCAAATTATCGGCGAAGCAGTCACCGAAGTCTAATGAGGAGAAGGTCTATATGGCTCGTGTGCCTTACTCTAGTGCTGTTGGTAGCATCATGTATGCTATGGTATGCTCGCGTCCAGATATTGCTCAGGCAGTCAGTGTTGTGAGTCGTTATATGTCCTGTCCGGGGAAGGCTCATATGGAAGCCGTGAAGTGGATCCTTAGGTATTTGAGAGGTACATCTAATTTCTGCCTTGAGTTTGGAAGATCCACAGAGAAGCTTGTCGGTTATTGTGATTCTGATTATGCTAGAGATCTTGATCGGAGGAGATCTCTCACTGGCTATTGTTTCACTTTGGGGAGTACCTCTATTAGTTGGAAAGCTTCACTTCAGTCGACTGTTGCTTTGTCTACGACTGAAGCTGAGTATATGGCTGTGGCTGATGCCGCTAAGGAAGCTTTATGGTTACGAAATCTGGTTGGTGAACTCGCAGGTAGACAGGAGGCTACAGTGATCTATTGTGACAATCAGAGTGCCATACATTTGACTCATGACCAGATGTTTCATGAGAGGACCAAGCACATTGATGTGCGTTATCACTTTGTTCGTGATATTGTTGAGGATGGTCGTGTTTTGCTCAACAAAATAGCTTTCGCTGAGAATCCTACTGATATGTTGACAAAGCCATTACCATCATCCAAGTTCGATGCTTGCATCGACTTGATGGGTCTTGTCTCATTTGATGCTTGATGCCCTTGAGGCATTTGGAGAGAGAGATTTGCTGTTTGAATTATCGCCAAGGTGAAGATTGTTGACGTTTGGTGTGGCTAAGTAATTCAACAGCCTCAATTACACCACCAAAAACTGCTACATTTATCTTTTGAGATGAATGTTGTAATAGTCACAGTTACACCACCAAAAACTGCTACATTTATCTTTTGAGATGAATGTTGTAA